TGTTTGATTCTTTTTTTTTTTTTTCGAAAGACATTTTTCTTTCTTCTTTCAACCGCACATTTTTCAATAAAATAATATTACATTCAAATTCAAAACTTTTTATTATTTTTAACTACATATTCTCCATCAAATTACTATTCCAAAATTCCAAAATACACTTTTTGCAACAACAAAAAAGGGCATCAAACGGGGCTCTTAATATTTTATTGCCGACAACGGTCGACGATCCATGACTGCCCGTGCTGACTCAAAATCCTGGGTCCGTCACTGACCAGCTATACACACACCGAACGATTCATTTAACGAATTTTTTTCTCCATCGACAGAGAGCCTTAGAGACATATCTTGCACTTCTTTAAGAGAATCATTTAGGGACTCTTCCACAGCCTGTTTGTCTGCTGGTGCGTCGGTTTACCATTGTGGATGCCTCGTTCGACATGCTGCAACCCTTGTTAAGTACGTTCAGCAATGTTCAGGCCACGAAAAGAGGTGTATGTTCTTCCACCCATTCCTTCTGCACTCTTCCCACAATTTTTTCTCTGATACTAACTTATGCAGTGCATCAGCAATTGCTTGCTGATCATGAGGGTCCACGAGCAGACCATTGTACAGTGCCTGAATTACACAATGAAACAGACAATACATATATCAACCGATCAAACAACAGTCTAGTTTCTACACTACAGTGGTTTAATGCCTAGGAGTTTAAATCAAAAGAATGCACAACAGCCCTTCATCTTGGACACGAGCGTCTTCAGAATTTTGTTCTTTTCATTGACATTAAAATGGAGAAAACACAAGTTTTTATAACATTTCTCATCATACGAGTAGAGGTCATTTTACCCGATGGATATCAACTGGATTACCATTCTTAGTTGCCACCATAGGGAGTCCATGCGCTGCAGCCTGAAAAAATCCAGGTTTCAAAAACTGATTCCAAAAACAATATAACAGAAGACGGGTACATAAAACTGAAACCAACCTCAACCAAGGTAAGTCCAAAGGGCTCAATGAAAGCTGGATTTATGAAAACTCCCAGTCAAGTTTTCAAGTGCAAGCGATTCATTAAGTGGTACCATAAAAGTTACTAAGTTGTAAGGAATGCAAACTTTAACAGACCTTTGTTTTGGCAGCAAGGTGGTAAATTTCTGGAACATCACTTTGCCTGTGATGTTTAGGGAAAGCGACTTGCCCATAAAGATCATATTTGTCAACCAATTTTAAAACAGTTATCAGCACACTAGCATTTCCGGTGGACATCTCGTCTATATTGTCCCTATTTCCCATTATTAGAGTCTGGTCACAAGTATGTTAGTTTAGATACTGAGTGTTTCATAACGTTGCCTGTGCCAATGGATGTCTAGTTAAATAAATTTGTCAACTTACAAGATTAGCAAGCTCCCGTAGGGGGCGGCATTCTCCGAAGGCTTTCATAAGAGTGGTTAAATTCTTTTTCGGATCTGGTCTCAATAATGCGAGAATCATTGGCTTGTGCGGATTTGTCAAAAAACGCATGACCTGGAAAGAAAACAGTCAAATAATTTACCATCAGCACACAGATAAGAGAAAGTATGCAGTGTATTATTTAGAACACAGATGAGATAGTTACATCTGAATATATAGAAGGAACTGCTTTCGGGGATGCCACGTCGTTGTTACTTGGTGCTGCAAGGTCACCATCCCCTTCAGCAATACTTCTTGAACCACATTGCTAAAGTCCATTCCAGGAGGGATAACCTGTTCAACGTTAATGCAGAAATATTAGATTCTAGAGTTCAAAAGATACCGAACCTATTTGTCATCACCCATAGCCGATTGGCCTACCCTAGAATATCAAGCTGCAGACGACAACTAAAGTCACATATTTTGCAAGAAAACAATCCCAAAAGTTGTAATGTCCAGCCTTATTCCTGCAGCCCCTTTTGTTGACTCAATTGTT